TTTTATTTATTCCTTTTATGCCATCATGCTTTCATTTTTGTACTTACCCCTACACATACATTCCTACACATGCAGGTTCAACGTAAATTAAAACAGTCTCTTGGGGGAAAAGAACTTATGAGTTAGGTTACTCAGACCTCACCCTATCACTCACAATCCATTTACCCAACCCCCCAAAAAATAGAGTGCAATTGTCCCCAATGCACAAAGAGTAAAAACAGAAAGGATAGGCGAAGAAAACATGTGGTGCATTACGCCGAACACCTCTCCACAAGCGAGTGGGTGCAATTTCCTGGAGCCTGCTGGATCAACACTCGGGACACCATCAGTAGTGCCTGCATCTACCATCTCAGCACCCTCAGTAGTGCTTACATTAACTCACACCACACCATCTATAGTCCTTACGCTGCTAGAGGCACCAACACCAATTTTCCTAGCCCGTTGTTTCCGCAACTCTTCGTCTCCCAATGCTCTTTTTTTCTAGCTCTCCCAGCCTCACTACCATCAGAAGTATGACTGGAGCGGGGGCGTTTCCCAGCAGTGCGGGAAGAATCAAACGGCGGCATACCATCTCCGAATAACGCAATCACCACCGTATCATCAACCAGTGTCATGGAGGCGAAATTGAGCTCAGTTTCTGGGGGAGCAAGAAGTCAATCGATATCAACATGGAGGCTCTCTATCACCTTCTGGAGAGTAGTCACATCAACATGACGACCTCTCTACGACTCTCAACTCCAAGGCATCCAGGCGCTTATGAATGGCCTGGACCTTCTGGGCCATCATGCGCTCCACCCGCTGCTCAATCCTAGCCTCAAACTCCTCTATCGCACGCTGCATCCAAGGCCTCACATGCTGAAGTAGTGAAGCCATCTAGGCCTCCAGGTTCTCGACACAGGCTAGAGATAGCTAGCGGATCATGAGGAGGGGGTGGCTCTCGAGGAGCTAGGGGCCTGACTGGCGGCCAGAGATGGGGAAGTCTGGGCATCATCTATAGTGGCTGGAGGGGATGGATCACCACCTTACATCTGCTCCACATTTGCTACAAGATCAGCTCCCGATGGTGGCACCTCAACATGTGGCTCCTTGTGAGGTGCAACTACATTGGCCTCCTCCCATATTAGGCCGATATCTAGGGTCTTGGTCTCCTGAAGAAACCTGTCACAATACCAAATCGGTACGCCAGCATCCCTGCAGAGCTAGAAAATGAGGCATGGAAAGGGTAACGTTGTGGTGGCCTTGAAGGCCCTCTCGTGTATCTCCGCATATCGCATGCGGGAAAAGTCTACCTCCAACCTAGCAATTAAAGCTACAACCATAAGTTCTTGGTCCCATGTAAGTACATTATTTGCATGAGTAGGGACACATTTCCACACCAGCAACCAAAAGAATTTACCACAAATGTCAGGGTGGCCTTCTAGATATTCATGATCAGGGTGCTGACCCACTAGGCGTGCTCTTTGTTTGTAGCAAGATAATGGGCTAACCAGCATAAAAATGTGCCACTCTGAACAATGTCCATGCGATAGTCGAACTCCACTCACATCACATATCACTCCTAGAAAAGCCTACAGGACCCAGAAAACTTCTAACACCATTAACAGAGATAGCTGGTGGAAGATTTTCTATTACCTCGACTTTAGCTCTATCAACCTCAATACCCTTCTCAGAAATCTGATAACCTAGTATGATCCCTTCTTTCACCATGAAGTGACACTTTTCCTAATTGAGCACAAGATTGCACTCTTCACACCGTTTCAGTACCTCAGCCAAATGCATCAGACATCTATCAAATGAGTCACCTACCACAGAGAAATCATCCATAAAAACCTCAATAGTGACCTCCACCATATCTGAAAATACCGACATCATGCAACGTATGAAGGTTGCTTGAGCATTACACAACCCAAATGACAATCGTTTGAAGGCAAAAGTCCCATAAGGGCAAGTGAAGGTGGTCTTGTCTTGGTCATCCGGAGCAATGGAGATCTTATTGTATCCCGAATAACCATCAAGAAAATAATACCAACCCTTACCAGCAAGACGGCCCAATATCTAATCCATGAACGGCGTAGGGAAGTGATCCTTTTCTGTCCAAGCATTCAATATCCGGTAGTCCATGCATACTCTCCATCAAGTCATGGGCCGCATCGAAACAACCTCATTTTTCGCATTAAGAACCACAATAATCCCACCGTTCTTGGGCACACACTGAACAGTACAAACCCAACTACTATATGCAAAGGGATAAATTACTCCAACATCCAACCTCTTGATGATTTCCTTTTTTACTACCGCTACTACAAAATGGGGCATTGGCGGCAATTGTTTAGCGGCAATTAATGAATTGTCGTTAATTAATTCTTTAAGCTGAAATATTAGTGGCATATGAACAATGGCCAGTAAAAGGTGTTATTTTAGTGACTATTAAAATAATTAGCCAGTAAAAGTTAATTTTTTAGTGACAATTAAAATAATTAGTTAGTAAAAGATACTAATAAACATAGCTTTCTTTATTTTTTAGGTTTCCCTCCAATTTTATTCCCTCCCATTCTAATAAGAGAAATTAAAAACAAAACCCTATTCCCTCTGCTTCCTCGATAATTCTCGTCTCTCAAACAGCTCAACGCGTCTTCTCCAAGAGGAACGATTTAGGTAAGCCTTCAAATTCTCCACCTTCACAATTCAATTCATGTTCTTACTGAAACGACCCATCATCACAAAGAGACTGCTGCGATTTTGCTCTAGTGGGTTATACTTTACGATCAAGTCTGTTTACTTATTGAACAAGAACTGATTTTTCAAATCGTTTGAAGTTTGAAGGTTCCTTAATTGTTTTCTTTTCTTATTTTACGTTTTCTGGAAGGTTTTACAACAGTCATCTTGCCCTTCACTTTTCGTCGGACAAAATCCTACTGCCAGGTACTCAAATTAGTTAGGGAAATTTTGTAAAAATAAGTTTTTTGTATTTTGTAACTCTGTTTTGTGATTTATGTGTTCTATTAATTTGATGGGCAACTGATTGAATTGATTACTCTATTTGTAAGGTTACTTTTATTATATTCAACTATTTGTGATTGTTCGAATGTTTTCAATTGTATCGGATGAATATCTATATTTTTACTTGAGCTGATAAATTATGTTATCCAATATCTCTAATAGTTACTTGTTTAGCTATCGCTTGAGCAGTGTTCTTAAGCGAGTGTTTTGTCTCTTAAAGCGAGAAACTAAGCTAACCTGTAGGACAAATTTCTCTTTTATGCTCTGTTTCTTCATAAGCTAAACTATAACAAGTTTTGGCCAACTCTTGAGTAGTGATCGTAAAAGCTAGTGTTTGTCACTTAAAGCGAGAAGCTAAGCTAACCGTTAGCACTAAGTTATGTGTTATGCTTTGTTTTTTTTCATATTCCTAAATTTTCCTTTTGTTTCATAATGTTTTCAGCATATGTCTCTGTTTTTCACTGCTCTATATAACTTTTTAATGTTTCTCGTTCTCCAATGTACTATTCTTGAGAAAGTCGTGTTAGGTGTTTCCGGCAAGTTTTGGTGTTAATTTGAACTAAACCATCAAGTTGAGTGAGTAAATACAATTCTGGTTATGTTGTGCTAAATCCAAAATTGATGGTGTGTTATTTTTAGTTTGGTTTATCAGTTTGGCTTATCATTTTCCTTTATACTCATTTACTGATGAATTCCTCAGATTGTTTATTGTTTTTTGAATTGCATTTTGTAGTTTTTTTTTATCACAAATGACCTGTAGAAATAACATTGTTCTATAGTTTTGATATAAGAAACAGTTAATCTAGCTTACTTACTTTTTGTAGTTGTTAGATTACTTTTTTTTGTGTGTTTTGATATTAAACATGGAAGAAACTATAAATATGTAAAGCTATAACGACAGTTAAGTTTGCGTTCTCTATATAACCGATCCATTCTGTTTCATTTAGACCTGTTCCATCTGAATATTCATTAGTTTGGGTTCTCATTCTTTGGTAACTTAAGTCAATATCGGATTAAAATTGGCTAGTTTAACATATCTTGAGGGTCAGTCAATTGCCTATTATTCTTTAAGTGTTTTAACTCTTTTGATGAAGTATTGGCCCTGCTGTCTGTTAGTAGGCATATTCATTCTATGGAGCTGCAAAGAATAGAGTACTAAATCCCACCATCATGATATCATGCTTCATAGGTGTCACATTTTTTGTGTCAGTTTCCAAAGAATTGAATCTTGAATTGAACCCCTGTTTTCCTACTACTTTGAAGAATTTGTCACCATAATTTATTGTCTCTCAGTAGTTGCTGATTTTCTTATTTCTTCATGATGAAAAAAAACTCCCTATTGCTCTATTGTTAGAAACTGTAAAACTTTGAAAGCTTTTAAGCACTTAAATCTCTTCTGTTTTTCAGCTTACCAAATCTCCCAGTTATAACCATGTGCTTTTCTGCATCATGCTTCTCACTTTGGCCAAGCGAGCCCTTATCCCTTTCTTCATTTCTCGCTTTGAAAAACACTGCTCTAGAGGAGGTTCCGTTCTGTAGTTTTTAAGTGTTTGGATAGTTCTAGTAGTAATTTGAATAAAATGATCAAGTTGAGTGAGTTAATACCATTTCGGTGACGTTGTGCTACTCTAGAACTGAGTTTTTATCAATTAGCTTGTTCACTTAAATTGTGAGTTGAATAAAATTATTTCATCGTCAAGCTAACAATATTCTATTTTCATCGTCAACCTAATATTATTCAGATAAATTAGAAGATCTATATACCTAAACTGTCAAAAGCTAAAATCTGTAAATTTAAGATACAACAACAAATTTAGTTGTTGTAACTTCTCTATATAAGAATGTCATTAGAATCAGATCTTTGCTTGATAGTTTGAATTATTGAAATGACATATTAGAGTTCTATAATTACATACAAAAATTATAAATTTCACCTTTTTTTACTAACGCATCTTTAGTTTTTACAGTAATTACTGAAAAAAAAGAATATCTTGAACTTTATGGAAGGTCCCAGTAATAAAAAGTGGATGTATTGTGATAGAGTTAGTAAAGAATACTTGGATGGAGTAAATGACTTTTTAAATCATGCCTTTTCTCAAAAACAAAATGGAGACAAAATTGCATGTCCCTGTACAGAATGTGTGCTTTTCCATCAAGTAAATCGGGCCACAGCATATGACCATCTTGTGGTTAATGGCATTTTGTCATCTTATGATACATGGTTTTGTCACGGGGAGTCTTTAAAAAAGTCAAACAATACTCAAGTAACTAATTGTAGCCAGTCAACTGTAAGGGGCGATGATGTGACCGGAATTATACATGATGCCTTTGGAGGATGTACACAACTTATGGATAGTGATGTCAATGAAAGTAGCGAGGTGGAGCCAAACCTAACAGAAAATAGTGCTTGTACATCTGGAAATCAAACTCATCAAGAGATGGATAAGTTTGAACAACTCATGAAGGAGGCAAATGAAGAACTTTATCCTGGATGTAAGAAGTTTAGCAAATTGTCCTTTTTGCTACATATCTATCGTACTAAATGCATGTTCAAATGGTCAAATGAATCTTTTGATTCTTTGCTTGGACTATTAAAGGATGTGCTGCCAGAAGGGGAAAAATTACCTCCTTCTTTCTATGAGACCAAAAATATAGTCGAAGGTTTGGGCTTAAAGTATGAAAAAATTCATGCTTGTCCCAATGATTGCATGCTTTTTAGAAAAGAGTTTGCCAGTAATGATGTCAATGAATGCAAAATTTGTGGAGCTTCTAGATGGAAAAATAATGCAAAGAAAATTCCAGCCAAGGTCCTAAGGTATTTTCCTTTAAAACCAAGACTACAAAGATTATTTATGTCTTCAAAAACTTCAAAAGAAATGTGATGGCATCATGAAGAGCTCAACAAACACGGTGTTCTACGACATCCTGCTGATTCTGAAGCTTGGAAAAGTTTCGATAACAGGTATTCTGAATTTGCTAGAGATCCTCGTAATGTCCGTTTGGGATTATCTTCTGATGGGTTTAATCCATTTGGCACAATGCAAACTGTTCATAGTACTTGGCCAGTAATTTTAATGCCATATAATCTTCCTCCGTGGATGTGCATGAAAGAAGAGTTCTCTATTTTGTCCTTACTTATTCTTGGACCAAAATCACCTGGCAATAATATTGATGTCTTTTTGCAACCGTTAATAGAAGAGTTAAATGAATTGTGGAGTGTTGGGGTAGAAACATATGATGCTTCTACAAAGGAGACATTTCAAATGAGAGCAGCTCTTATGTGGACTATAAATGATTTTCCAGCGTATGGTACTCTTTCTGGATGGAGCACTTATGGTCCATTTGCATGCCCTTCATGCAATATAAACACTCACTTTAAAAGGCTCAACCATGGAAGGAAATTTTGTTTCATAGGGCATCGACGTTTCTTGAAGTCTAGCCACAAATATCGAAATGATGCAAAATCATTTGATGGTACTAAAGAAACAAGACATGCACCTTGTGCCATATCTGCGTCACAAGTGTTGGATCAAGTTAAAGATATAAAGTTTACTCTAGGACAATCAAGTGAAGAGGTAAGTGGGGTGCTGAAAATACATGGAAAAAGAAGAGCATATTTTTCGATCTTCCTTATTGGGAGTATAACTTGGTGCGCCATAATATTGATGTAATGCACATAGAAAAAAATGTTTGTGATAACATAATTTATACACTACTGGGTCTTGGTAAAAAGTTGAAAGACAATATAGAAGCATGATTGGACTTAAAGGAGATGAAAATAAGACCAAGCTTATGGCCTCAGTATTGAGCTAGTGGGAGGGCATATCTTCCTCCTACTTATTTCCTAATGTCTTCAAAAGAAAAAGAGATGTTTTATGAATTACTACAAAATGCCAAATTTCCACATGGCTATGCGTCTAATATCTCATGTTGCATTCGCAAACAAAAGATATCTGGGTTAAAAACTCATGATTGCCATGTTATAATGCAAGAACTTCTTCCTCTTGCCGTGTGGAAATCTATAGATAAAAGAGTCAAATTTGTTTTAATTGAACTATGCACATTCTTTCGTGGTTTGTGTAGCAAAGTGCTGAAGGTAGAAGAGTTAAAATTACTTGAAGAAAAAATTCCAGAAACATTGTCTACTATGGAGAAAATCTTCCCCCCAGGATTCTTTACTATTATGGTGCACTTAGTTACTCACTTGGCAACTGAGGCTAAACTTGTGGGTCCAGTACAATATCGTTGGATGTATCCAATTGAGAGGTATGTAGAATATCACTAAATCATTATTATATATATCTTTATGTTGTAAATATTATAATATTAAGCTAATAACATTAATTTATTCCATAGATACTTGGGTACTTTAAAATCATATGTCCGTAATCGTGCATGTCCAGAAGGCAGAAGCATACATAGCAAATGAATGTTTGGCATTTTACTCACGATATTTAGAGGGTGGAGATTCAAGATCTTATTATTCACGAAAATGTGATGATGAGATTGAGCATGAGACTAGTAAAGAAGAATGTCTTTTTCCTTTTACCGGAGAGTCATATGGTGCAGTAGATGTATATGAAATGGATGAGAAAACACTATTTCAAGCACATCGGCATGTGCTTGTCAATTGCGAGTCAGAGGTGGTAGAGAATTATAAAAAGTAAGTGTTATTATTATATCTATCGTTGATTAAGTGTATATTACTTCATTTGATAACAATATTGATACATATGAACTACATGAATAGAAAACATTTTGCTGAAATAAAGAGATCACATCGCAAGCGTCGTTTGACACAACATCAACTTGACTGTATGCATTTCGATACATTTAGTGACTGGTTCAAAGAGAAAGTAAGTGGTAGGACTAAGTTATTGGTTACCTTAATTATTGTATTCATCCTTATATCGAAACTTATAGTTATATCATTCTATTTGGTTAGGTAAAAGAGTTATAAGCCACATTTGACATCTTAAAGAATGTTATAGTTCTTGCAAGAGGGCCGAGTTACATTGCAAAAAGATTCAATGCCTATGATGTAAATAATGGATATCATTTTTGAACAAAACAAAGTGAAGAGCACCTAGAGACACAAAATAGTGGTGTTATGGTCGTTTCAAAGACTGAAAGTTATGCAAGTTCAAGTGACAATGCTCCGAAGTTTTCAAATATCACATATTATGGTAGATTGAATGAAATTGTGGAGTTAAACTACTATGAAGAATTTAAGGTTGTCTTATTTAAGTGTAATTGGGTTGATGTAACCAAAGGTAGAGGAATTATGGAAGATGACTTGGGTTTCACAGTTGTGAATTTTTCACGCCTGGCTGATTCTGGCGATCGAAAACGTCATGAGCCCTTTATATTTGCAGAACAAGCTCAACAAGTAATATTTGTGCAAGATCCTCAAGATTGTGAATGGTTTGTTCCTAGGTTAATTAAACCTCGAGACGTTTTTGATATGGGAGAGGAAAATAGTGTGCAGATTGAGTCATAAATGCAAAGTGATTCCACTGACTTGGCTATCTTAGAAAATTCTCACATTCTTGAGTTTGAAAATAATGATTGGGTAAGAAGTGGAGTCGATGGAATAGTAATTGATACAGAAGTTCATAGTCAAGCTTCTCTAAATGATGGCGAAGCTAATCCCGAGGGAGAAAATGATATTGAAAATGAAAGTGATCCAGAATGATAGGCGGTTATTATAACATATATTTTTTTCCAGTGTTATTAAAGAACGTCTACATACTTGTTATTTTACATTTATAAATTTGAACATTATATCTTTATGGTTTACTTTCAATCTAAATCATTTTATAGAATATGCTTGTTAGTCAGTTATGAATTTTCCATGTTTGTGTTGGTTGATTAGTGAAGGTTCTGAGTGACTTTTCTGGGCTTGTTTTTAACTATATTTTGTGGCTTTGTCCCCTGGATTGTGAAGTGAGAATGTGTTCTTGTGAATTGGAAGTTTGTCCATCTTTGGTGCATTGGTATGTGATTTTACAACTTAACATGAGCATGATCCTTTCTCTTGTATTGCCTGTATCTTGTTATTCTGCTACCAGTGCACTTTAATGCATCTATATAGTTACTTAATTTTAGATAAGAAATTATACAAACTAGAGGTTGCACCAGATTGAACATTCAACCACAAAATGGTGAAGATCTACGACAATATGTTGATCAGTTGATGGATGAACGGAACATCGATCAAGCCCAACCGTATATTGAACAATTGATGAATATTCAGAATCACTCAGATACTCCAGATCACGATGATCAATCTAATGAGTTGAACAATACTGTTGGTGGCACAGGGGAATCAGGTAATACTTTTTAAGTTGTCTACTTCTTATTAGTTTTACAAGCTGGGAACAAATCTATTGTGGTATCATCTAGGATGCATTCCTTCAGAGTCTATAGTAGTGAGAGGAGTTCATCGATCTCCCAGTATTTTAGCACTTGGTGCCTCAGTAGGAATCAGGGCACCTGGTGCACCCATTAAATCAATAATCAGTCATTACAGCTGAATCATCGCATAATCGTGCCGACAATGGAAGGAGGTTTCCAGAGTCATGCTCAAACTGGGTGCTTCTAGTTCTACCTGAACTATTTCCACAAATTCCCCTTTGCTTCATTGTTGTAGAAAACTGGTTCTTCCGTTGAAATCCATGTATTGGCAGTTCATGAGCAGGAATAACTGAACTTGATCCTGTCCTAGTATCAATAGCCCTTTCTTCTGATAATTGATTTTTTCCAACAACAACTCCTAAAACCAGATCTGATTGCAAATACATTTGACTCTCTGGAGAAACACCAAGGAGTTTAGCTTCTGTATTGGCATTCCCATGAGCAGTAGTAACTGAACCTGATTCTGTCCAGTTCCATGAGCAGCAGTCCCCAATAGCTTCTGTATTGAAATGAAAGTACCGCCTTCAGTGTACCCCTTCTCCTCATTGGCCTCCAATAATCGAGAATGCCATGTTTGGCTTCGACTATATCCCTCCAGCACCCTTCCTCATTCTGTCCAAACCACCAAAGCCACTTCAAAAGTGAACTTTTATTAAACTAAACAACAACATAAGAATATCAAACTAATAGGTTCATTGCATCAGATAAATCATTCTAATCCTACATGACAAACAAGTACTATATCAACATAGATAAAAAATAACAAAGATTCACATATGCAATGTCCTTAGTCAAGATGCATCTAATATGTTACATGAGGTAGACAACAGGTAGAATATATTACTTTTTTTTACCATTGTTCTATCGTGATCCTTTTATTTAACAGATTGTACATAATCTATTAGTTTCTTAACTATATAAGTTTTTCTCATTTGATGTCCTTCAAATCTTTTTACTTCTAGGTAATTCGGAGGCAAGAAAGATACGTGGACCTACTTTACTTAATGATATTTGGAAACTTCCTCCAGGGAAAACAATTGATGTGCCATTTAATAGTCTCAACCAATCTATTGGAAAAGAGGGTCGAAAGCTAGCTAGCTTTCTAGGAATTATTGCAAGAACTCCAGAACTAACACCTCTACACGTACATGATTGGAGAAACTTTGACAATGAAGAAAAGAAGAAATTGTTGGATTTTGTGAGGGTATGGTGTGGTTGTTATTATTAAGTACGCAGACTCTATTATACATGATGTTATTTTCTAAATTTTTTCTTTTACTTTTTCAGAAGAAGTTCACTATCCCAAAATGCGGAGAAGACTTTGTCTTAAAGTCGCTAGGAAAGAAATGGAAAGATTACAAATGCCAATTAAAAGGTGACCATATTCCAAAGTATAAGACTAAAATCGCTTTGCTGAAAAATAGACCAAGTCGTATACCAAGAGATCAATGGAGTGGTCTTGTCTCTTATTGGCTTTCTGACAAAGCTAAGGTATCAACAAATCTTGAATACATACTCCTAGTTACTAATCTTCACAGTGTTTAGAGTTTTGTTATGCTCAATTTTTATTTATAAATCATAAGATATCGCTTTATTTTTTCAATGATAGAGACGTACCCAAGCAAATAGAAACAATAGGGCCAAACAAAACATGCCTCACACGGGAGGATCCAAAAGTATTGCTACATTGATGGATGAGAAGGTAAACCTGTTGAAACTACAAACTATAATATTTTACCCCTTTTTGTTATGTACATATGACATCAATTTTATTATATTAGGCTGAAAATGGTGTAGAGCCTACACGAGCAGAAGTTTTCTTATTAACTCATAAAAAACGCGCGGACGGTAGACCATTGGATGATGATTCTGCCAAAGTAATTGTAAGATTTCTTTTTTCTTTTATTTTCTATATCGGGAAATATTTAGAAAAAAAACTTAAAGGCAAATAAATGAATTCAAAACTAGATTTAATAAGTATTTTCTGGTCAGGACATGATAAACGAAAAGATGAGCAATAGTGAGGGACCTACTGACCAACCTCCTCACCGTGTTGCTTGGAAAGGTGATGTGTATTCCCAAGTGTTGGGAAATGAAAGAAGTGGATATGTTCGTGGTTTAGGATTTGGTCCCACTCCTTCTGTTCTATGGGGTAGGAGATCTTCCTTGGGAAATATTGATCAAGAGGATTCATCTAATGAAGTTGTACAACGGCTAGAACATGAGATTACTAAATTAAAGGCGAAACAAAATGAAGAAATGAATCTGATGAAGCAAAATCAGGATAATATGCAATTAGAATTACTTCAAATGAGTCAATTGATGCGTAAATATGCTCCTAATGAATGCATGCCTCAAAATATCAATGGCACCTCAAGTGGACAGGTAACTCGATAACATAAGTTTTAGACATTTTTATAAAATTTAATCGTAATAAGAATATCTTTTAACTAATGTGTTAATATTTATCAGGTCCCCGATGTTAATAGTGGCCATGGACAAATACCACAAACAACATGTATTACTCATCTTTATCCTCACCATATGCATCTGTTTAAAAATATTTATATGTATTAGTATAATAATAAGGAAGTAGTTCACGACAAAAAATGGGCAGAATTTTGTTATTTGAGAGGGATTAGCTATCTTTGTCATCTGTTACCCCTGAATTCTATTATAGTGTACTGATTTTAGTACATAATTATATATTTGTGTACTGTTGTTCCTAAGTATTAGGTTTTCAATAGCTTATTAGGTTTTGTTTTATAGCTGAGTATTAGTTATCTGATTGCTCGAACAATCCTTTATCACCTCATCCCTACTCTCTTTGTACTAAATTATCGACCAAGCTTTGATGCCATTAAGCTTCGTTCTGAACTTTCCAAATGTGGTATATAGTTGCTGCAAACATTGTTCATAAGAAAGCTCACTATATTTATAACTTCTTGAGTTTCTTTCCTCTATATTGTCCACTAGATGTTGGCTGGGATGCTAGCTCGACCATTTTTTCTGCCTCATCATGTCTCCTGAAACATGCTAACATTTCAGCAGTCTTCTTGGGAATTTTCCATATCAGACTTTTTGATAGTCTGCAAGAGTTATTACAATCTGCAGTCTATCATCTTGCTTAGGGGTTTATAAAGACATGAAAACACTTTGTATTAGACTCTCCACAGGAGATCCAAGTGGCTTTTTGAGATTTTTTGTATGATATGATATAATTCCTATCTCATGATGTTTTTATCAATTAGATTTCATCTTTTGACACATTTATTTTATTATTTCAGGCCATACAATATGATGTTCGGAAATTTTGGGATTGGTCTATATAATGATATTAGTTATTTCGTTCAAATAATATAAGTTTAGTTTTTAAGTTTTGGTACTATAGTTTTGATTAATACTTCTTTTTGTTTATATTTGATGAGATATATTATGTTTTATGAATTATAAATATGTTTTTAGTATTTGACAAACCTCGTTTGCTCTAATAGGCTCTCTTTTGATTACAATATTGTTGAATTTACTAGTTATAAACTTCCAAGTATAATTGTGAATTCGATAATTTTATGATTGGATGTAGTCATTATTAATGGTGGCTTACCAATCGGTTGTTAAAGTTTTTGACTTTTAGCGTCAAACTAAGTGAATTTACTAGCCATAAAAATTGGATGCTAAATGGGGGAAATTAAGATGTTTTCAAAAGGATATTATAGCCTTTATAATTGCCATCAAACTTTTGTCGTTAAAGATATGAACTTTTAACGGCAATATTATTGAATTTACCAGCTATAAAAATAGACACTATATGAGCATGATTAGTCGTTTCAGATTTGATTTAACAACTATTTTAATTGCCGCTATAACTAATGAATTTAGCGGCAATTTGGTTGGATTTACCGTCTATAAAAATGGACACTACACAAGCATAACTAACTTTTTTGGATAGGATTTACCAACTATCTAAATTGCCGCAAACCAATAGCCGCTAGAACAAATGTGTTTTAGTGGCAATTTCGTTGGTTTTACCAGCTATAAAAATGGACGCTACATGAGCATAACCAACCGCTTTGGATTGGATTTGGCAGCCTTTTAAATTTCCGCAATCAATTGCCGCAAAATCGTCTTAGTTTTAGAGGCATATGATCTTGGCTATACCAGCGCTTGTCCTAATTTCCGCAACAGCCTTTGCCGACCCTGATACAACGGCCAAAGAGCATTGGCTGGTAATGGCTATAGCGGCCATAGTTATTGCCGTGAAAACCATTTTTAATGGCCGCTAAATCCCCCTTTTGTTGTAGTTATACCTCTTACATATGCAGATTTAGTCTCCTTTGGTGTTCAATACTAGGCTTGTTGTCACGACCAAAGCCTAGGGCCTAGACGTGACATGGCGAATGAGGAACCCGAAGGAACCCAAACAAGCCTCTCAAACTTGTCATCACACTTCATCGGTCGCGGAAGTGCATTCAACATTTATTTAACGGGAAATAGGGACTAAGGGCAAACCATTTCAGAATGACATCATAGAACAAGAGTCAAGCTCATTTACAAAATACTTGTCCAACGCACACCTCTACATACATAGATAGGATGGGGCCATGACATACTACCGGCTCCCCTCATAGTCAAAATACAATTGCAAGCTAAAGTCTCAAAACATAGGAGTAGGAAACATAACATAGCCCTCAAATCATTGAGGACTCACCAACAACTCAGATAAGCACCGTACTAGCCACGTGAAAGGAGAGAAGGATCAAGAGTAGCTCCGGTCCCTACATGGTGACATCATGTAGGCAAAATATGCGTTAGTACCTGAAATGTACTAAGTATGCAGGGTGCAACACAACAATAGACAAGGACACAATCGAAATACAAGAAATAGTTTCATAGGCATTATGAATAACAATATGAGGATGCATGATCAAAGTGAAGTCAAAACATGTTTAAGTAAATCTATACTAATAGTAGATATCATATGTGTATGCATGATCCAACCAATCTATAACCCCAACTTAGGATGGGGGATGCTGTTCACACCCGGACACCCTGGTGGCAAGGTATAAACCCCTCACATGGTTGATGTTGGTCACACCCCAAGCATCCTAGGTGATGAGATATAAACCTCTCACATGGTTGATGTTGTTCACAGCCCAGGCATCCGAGGTGGTGAGATATAAATCTCTCACATGGTTGATGTTAGTCACACCCCAAGCATCCTAGGTGGTGAGATATAAACCTCTCACATGGTTGTCCGGTTCTTTTCCCCCGGACCGGGCATGGTCATGCAACACTTTATATAGGAAATTCCCATTAGGCTCTAATGCAATCTCACGTATGGAATGAACATATACACAAGCTTAGTTTGTCATCAACACATCTCTGGATTTCCATACATCTCATAACTCAAGCTTTAAAGCATCGATTCATCAATTCTCCATAGTTGGACATTTTATCAAACACCTTGAAGGCATGTAATGGAATCAAAGAGCATGGAAAATAGGGTAGTAATTATGCAGCCAAACCAGTGAACAACCTACAACAACACATTTTTAACACCCACAATACCACATGAAAATCTCCACATCCATTCCAAATTTAGGTTCAAGTTCGAGAGTCACAACATGCTCAAAACAATCACTTTTCATGTTTAGAATTCAATGTGCAGGAAATTATTACAAAGAACAAGACTAATTTATGAATCTGAACTTAAACTATGAATTAGCGAGTAGAATAGAGTCTAGGCACTATGGGTGGAAGGACCCATGAGTTCAACACCACATACCTTGAGTTTTTATGAAGGTCTTGAGAGTGTCTTCAATGGAAGCTTGGAACTTGGAGCAAGAGTCTCTTCAATCTTGAGGAAGGTTTTGGATTAGGGTTCTTGAGAGAACTTGAGAGAAAATGTGTCTAAGTATGGGAGATGTGTTTTGGGAAATGTTTTAGAGATGAGAATTGAACTAATGGTATATAGGAAATAACATATGCCCTTTGGAACAAAGGTCCAACACTTAGAAAAAAAAATGAGGCGGGTGAACAGTAAAAATGCTCACTGGAAATTGCCTTTCCTGCCGGACAGATTTTACGAAAATGAGCATAACTTCTTCGTCCGAACTCCGAATGAGGTGAAACAAAGTGCGTTAGGTAGCTAACTCAAAGGGCTTTCCATGGATATGTTATTGGCCACCCAAAAATTTGTGTGCTAGGAGATATGACCCTCCAAAGTAGACCCTCGAAAAAGGCTTCACTTGGAAATTTTGGATTTTGATACGGTTGCTCTAAAATTTGGGTTAGACCCATTTCCCACTCAATTTGACCCCCTAAACAAGAATATGAAGTCGTATTTTTGAAAAACGAAATGGATTTTTTTTATTTTTATATATAGCTAAACAAGTTTCTGGTAACTTCCAAAGCACATTTTTAAGAACTTTTTGGGTCATTTCACTTGTGATCCGGCATGAGTTGGATTTTATGAGAACAATAGCCAAGAGAATCCTAATAATGGCCGCAATGGTCCACCCAATAGCTCGCTTGAACCTCTTTAACACAGAAACCAAAGCCTCAACTCGTACCACATTGAAATTTGTCGCAATGATAAACGGTAAAGTATCATCTCTCCCAAGAATACATACCTCAATAGAGATGGTAGAGCCTTTAGCTCCCATTTTGGAGCCTCTTCAACAGACGATTTTACGGGTGGAGAGTCGCAATTCTTCAGATCTTACTCCAATTTATTTGGTTTGGAACGAAATTCGAACCTATAAAGTGCGGCGACCAATTCATCATAGTCTTCAATACCATCACCTTCAAAGTTCATCATTACCGCTGCCAGTGCATCAACACCCAACCTCTCTTCAATAGACACATCAGAACCATGCTCCACTATATGATTCAGCACTGACACTGACTTGAGATGTCTTTCCTGCTTCATCGACCGACAAGTATTAAAAGTTACCTCTTCGCTATTCAATCCGAACTTCATATGCTCTTTCTCAAGATTGACCAAGGTGAGCCTAATAGCATGGAATGGTCTTTCTAGGATGATGGGAACCTCAAAATCAACCTCACCATCAAGTATAACAAAATCCCCTGGAAAGATAAATGACTCCACCTCCACAAGTACTTCTTGGAGAACACCAATGGGCCTCTTCACAATTCTATCAGCCATGAGTAATCGCATCGCAGTCGGTTTTAGAGCTCCTGAACCCAACTTCTTGTAAATAGTCAATGGCATCAGAGTAATGTTGGCACCCAAATCACACAACCCCTCCACAAAATGCAACTACCCGATGGTACAAGGAATAGTGAAAGCACCAGAATCCTCTTTCTTTTGCACAAGTGACCTAGTAGCAATAACACTATAACGTTGCAACCTATCTGAAACGACCCCAAAAATGCCCGAAAATGTGCTTCGGAAACACCTATAATTGTAATTTCCATATATCTCAAAATTCGTGCATGATTTCGGAAATTCGACTTCATATTCTTATTCAGGGGATCAAATTGAGTGGGAGATGGGTCTAACCCGAATTTTAGAACAACTGTATCAAAATTCGAAAATCGCAAAAAATGCGATTTTCAGGGTCAACTTTAAAGGGGCATATCTCTTAGCACACAAGGAACTGGAAGGGCCGCTACCTGTTAAATTAAAGCCCTTCGAGTTAGCTTTCCAATGCAATTGGTTTCACCTCATTCCGAGTTAGGATGAAGGAGTTATGATCATTTTCGTAAAACTTGTCCGGGCAGAATCGCAATTTCCAGTGAGTTACGTTACTGTAGCGGCTGGAACGTTTTTCTTTTATAAAAAAGAGGATTGTCCCATACTTAGTTATATTTCTTTCTAGCTTCAAAACACTCAAAAACACTCACTAATCCCTCTCCAAAATTCCACCAAAATATTCAACCAAATTCAAACATCTCAAGTTTTAATTCCGGATTCAAGACTCAATCTCAAGCATCAATTCTCCATTCCAATCCTCATCAAGGATTCTCCAAAGTTGAGGTATGTGGGTTGATTGTGGAAACCTTCCTTTCCACAAGTCCAACCATTTATCATCTATTTTACTTCAAGTTTATGGGTCCTTATGATCATTTATGAACTCTTGAATTATGGAATTACTACTACACATTCTATTATGGTCTATTTTTGCATATTATCATGAAATGGAATTATTATGTGATGTTATGGTTTTCATGCTTCCATGATCAAATTATGAAGGTTGATATATATATGTATGTTGTTGGTGGGCTGATTTATATGTATTTCGGAATTGGTTGGACTTAGTACTCTTGAAAGACATGATTTTATCTACATGAACAATAGCCCACCATGTGTTTGATAAAATGTCATTTATAGAATTCATAGGAAATGGAAGGTCCAATGTACATCCTATGAGTCGGATGATTATATAATTATTGAAATGATGATGAAAGGGATACATGTATATGATTTTCTCTATAAAAGTGTTGTGAGTCGACCAAGCCTAGTACGGGGGGTAGTAGGCCCGTATAACCGTATCAAGGTGTTGGTACCTTGGTTGCCTAGTACGGGGGGTAGTAGGCCCGTATAACCATATCGAGGGGTTTGTACCTTGGTCCCTAGCTCGGGGGGTGGTAGGCCCGGGTAACCACATTGAGGGGTTTGTACCTCTTTCGCCTCTCCAAGGGGGTGGTAGGCCTTGGAAATACTATATTGATGGTCACTCACCACACATGTACTACGTCCCACTAAATATGATTTTTATGTAAGCGTCATTATATATATCATTTCATTTATGTGCTATCTATCGGGTATGAATATGCATTTTCCTATGATGTCCATCTATTGTAGCATTGCATTGCATCCCATATACTTAGTACATTCAAACGTACTAACGCATACTCTATGCCTACATGATGTCACCATGTAGGGACCGGAGCACCGCTTGATCATCCTCCTCCGCGTGGCTAATACGATTTCCTACCAAGGTTATTGGTGAGTCCTCCATTCCGAGGACGTTGCTCATGATCTTTTGCTATGTATAAGACTTTTCTTTTTAGTTATGTTTTGACTATGAGGGTGAGCCCGGTAGTTTGTCTTGGCCCCCGCTAAGTACTCATGTTTAGAGGTGGTGTTGGACAAGTTGTGTATTATGCTTGAGCTTGACTCATCTATGGTATTTATGTATCATTTCTTTTTTTTTTCTTATTCCCTTAGTCCCGATTTCCCCCTTCCATTATGCTTATTGCTTATGGTCATTTTAATTGCTTCCGCGACCAAGGATGTGTAATAATACGCTATGAGGCTTGTTTGGGGCTCCTTCAGGTTCCCCATTCGCCGGTCACGTCTAGGCCCTAGGCTTGGGTCGTGACAAACTTGGTATCAGAACACTAGGTTGATAGATCCTCGGAGTCCAACACACCGCATTGATTAGAGTCCGATTCATGGTTGTGTTGTGCACCACAACTATGAGTAGGAGGCTATGAGACGTTTTAAGAAATGTTTCCTTTCTCCATTTTCTAAGTCGTGCTGTAGAGTTGAATTAAGGTCTTCCCTAACGGTTGTTCTTTGCTTTGCTAGATCATGCCTAATACAAGAGAAGACGAGCCCGCGCACCCGAGGAACAACCGACCAATGGGGATCTTCGGGATGCCCTTACTTTATTTGCCCAAGCTATGGCTAATCAAGCCAACCACGGGGCCCAAGCCCCTCAGTCTCCTACCCCGGCATCTCGGGTGAGAGACTTCGTGCGGATGAATCCCCCGGAATTCTATTGGTCTAAGCTAGATGAAGACCCTCAAGAGTTCATTGATGAAGTCCACAAGATATTAGCTATCGTGGGCATGAGGTCAGAAGATAAGGCGGAGTTGGCGGCCTACCAACTAAAAGGGGTGGCCCAAATATGGTACAACCAATGGAAGGAAGAGAAGGGGGCAAACTATGTGGTGCCTTGGGAAGAGTTCAAAACGGCTTTCCTTAATCGATTCTTTTCTCTTGAGCTTAGGGAAGCCAAATTGGTGGATTTCATGAATTTAAAACAAGGGTCTATGAATGTTAGGGAGTATGCCCTCAAGTTTAACCAACTTTCAAGATATGCTCCACACTTGGTTGCCGACTGACGATCTAGAATGAACAAATTCGTGATGGGTGTGTCCGACCTAGTGAGTGAAGAATGCCGATCCGCAATGTTGATTAGTGACATGGACTTGTCCCGCTTGATGGTGTATGCCGAACAAATGGAGGAAGAGAAGTTGAGGAAGAGGAGGGGTCATGAGGCCAAGAGGGCCCGTTTTGAGGGCAAATTCCAAAGTCGAAGGGGAGGCCGGTTTCATCAAGGCCAAGGGTCTTCTCATGCGCCCCATAAGGGGTTTGCCAATGACGTTCCAAGGGCCCAAGGTGTTAGTGGTATGGGTCCTATTGATGTATGTCCGAAGTGTGGTAAGGGCCATGGTGGCCCGTGCTTGAGAAATACCGGTGCTTGCTATAGTTGTGGGGAAATGGGGCACAAGGCAATGGATTGTCCTCGAAATCGCAACAAGGGTAAGGAGGTCCGTCCACAAGGTGCCAATGCGGTTCCTTTGGGGAGAGGGGGCCGACAAGATGGTGCCCCAAGGCACAATCGATTTTATGCTTTGCATGGGAGGCAAAGGGTCGATGAAGTCCCTGATGTCGTTACCGGTATGTTGAAAATCTTTGACTTTGATGTATATGCATTAATTGATCCGGGTGCCTCTCTTTCTTTTGTCACCCCCTTTGTTGCCAAAAAGTTTCATGTTGAGCCCGAATCGTTGCGTGAGTCATATAAGGTGTCTACTCCTATTGGTGCATATATTGTTGCTAGGAAGGTCTATAGAAATTGTCCTATTTGCATCTTGCATAAAATATTGCCTTGTGATCTTGTTGAGTTGGACATGGTCGATTTTGACGTTGTTCTTGGGATGGATTGGTTGCATGCATACTATGCTTCCATTGATTGTAGAACCCGTAGGGTCAAGTTCCAATTTCCAAGTGAACCCATTCTTGAGTGGGAAAGACAAAATGTGGTAGTCAAGGGTAGGTTCATCTCTTGCATTAAAGCCCGTAAGTTGATCTCTAAGGGGTGTCTCTATCATCTTGTGAGGGTTAGGGATGTGGAGTCCAAAACCCTTCCTATAGAGTCGGTTCCGGTTGTAAATGAATTCCTTGATGTCTTTCCTAATGACCTTCCCGGTGTTCCTCCCAAAAGGGAAATAGATTTTGGCATAGACCTCCTCCCCGATACTCAACCCATTTCTATTCCCCCTTACCGTATGGCCTCGGCGGAGTTAAAGGAGTTAAAGAAGTTGAAGGAACAATTGAAGGACTTGTTGGAGAAGGGTTTTATTAGGCCTAGCCAATCACCATGGGGTGCTCCGGTGTTGTTTGTGAAGAAGAAAGATGGGTCCCTTAGGATGTGTAGTGATTACCGGCAACTCAATAGGATCACCGTCAAGAATAAATATCCTCTTCCTAGGATTGATGACTTGTTCGACCAATTGCAAGGGGCTAGCCACTTCTCTAAAATTGATCTTCGGTCCGGGTATCATCAAGTGAAGGTGAGGGAGTGTGACATTCCCAAGACAGCCTTCCGGACTAGGTATGGGCATTTTGAATTTGTGGTCATGTCCTTTGGGTTGACCAATGCACCGGCTATCTTCATGGACCTAATGAATAGGGTCTTTAAACCCTACCTTGATTCCTTTGTTGTGGTCTTCATTGATGATATTTTAATCTATTCGCATAACGAGGAAGAACATATGGGTCACTTGAGGGTTGTGTTGCAAAGATTGAGAGAGGAGAAGTTGTATGCCAAGTATGAAAAATGTGAATTTTGGTTGAAGGAGGTTGCCTTCCTAGGTCATGTGGTGTCGGGGGATGGTATTAAGGTAGACCCTAAGAAGACCGATGTGATTAGAAATTGGCCTAGGCCATTGACCCCGTCAGATATTAGGAGCTTCTTAGGCTTAGCGGGTTACTACCGGAGATTTGTGAATGGGTTTCTTCTATTGCTTCTCCCATGACTAAGTTGACACAAAAGAAGGCTAAGTTTGAGTGGACCGACGAGTGCGAAAGGATTTTTCAAACCTTGAAAGATAAACTTGTGTCCGCTCCTATATTGTCACTCCCGGATGGGCTTGAGGGATTTGTTGTGTATTGTGATGCTTCTAGAGTTGGCTTGGGTTGTGTCCTAATGCCAAATGGTAAGGTGATAGCCTATGCTTCTAGACAACTCAAAGTGCATGAAAAGAACTATCCTACACATGATCTTGAATTAGCCGCTGTGGTGTTTGCTTTAAAGATTTGGCGTCATTACTTGTATGGGGTACATGTTGATGTGTTCACCGATCATAAGAGCCTCCAATATGTCTTCACCCAAAAAGATCTCAACTTGAGACAAAGAAGGTGGCTAGAATTTCTTAAAGATTATGATATGAGTGTGCATTATCATCCCGGTAAAGCTAATGTGGTGGCGGATGCTTTGAGTAGGGTGTCTATGGGTAGCCTAGCTCATGTTGATATTGGTGATAGGGAAATGGCTAGGGAGGTGCATCGGTTGGCTAGGTTGGGGGTTAGGTTGGAAGAGGTTGGTAATGGTGGTGTAGTCGTTGTTGATGGTGCTAGGTCTTCCTTGGTTGATGAGGTGATAGCAAAACAAAATCTTGACTCTTCCTTGTTAGAATTGAAGGCCTTGGTGAAAGAGGGCAAAGTGGAAGTTTTCTCCCAAGGGGGAGATGGTGCCCTTAGGTACCAAGGTAGGTTGTGTGTGCCTTGTGTTGATAGTTTGAGGGAGAAAATTCTTGAGGAGGCTCATAATTCTTCCTACTCCATTCACCCCGGTTCTACCAAAATGTATAAAGATTTGAGGGATGTGTATTGGTGGGGAGGCATGAAGAAGGACATTGCCAAATTCGTCTCCGGTTGTCATAGTTGTCAACAAGTCAAGGCCGAACATCAAAGGCCGGGTGGTCTAACCCAAGACATAGAGATTCCTACTTGGAAGTGGGAAGAAATTAATATGGATTTTGTAGTTGGTTTACCCAAGACTAGAAAAGGTTTTGATTCTATTTGGGTGGTGGTTGATAGGATGACAAAATCGGCTCATTTTCTACCGGTAAAGACAACATATGGGGCGGAAGATTATGCAAGGTTATATATTCATGACTTGGTAAGGTTGCATGGGATTCCTCTATCCATCATATCGGACCGTGGTACTCAATTTACTTCACACTTTTGGAAGTCCTTTCAAAGGGGTCTAGGTACGAAAGTTAAGCTTACTACGGCCTTTCACCCGCAAACGGATGGACTAGCCGAAAGGACTATCCAAACACTTGAGGATATGCGTAGGGCTTGTGTATTGGAGCTTAAGGGTAGTTGGGAGGATCATCTTCCATTGATTGAGTTTTCCTATAACAATAGCTATCATTCTAGCATCGGTATGGCTCCTTTTGAGGCTCTCTATGGGAGGCGTTGTAGATCACCGGTTGGGTGGTTTGAGGTTGGTGAGGTGGCCTTGTTAGGACCAGATCTAGTTATGGAGGCTCTTGAGAAGGTTAGGATGATTAGAGAAAGGTTGAAGACGGCCCAAAGTCGCCAAAAGTCCTATGCCGATGTGAGAAGAAGGGCTCTTGAATTCCAAGTTGGTGATTGGGTCTATTTGAAGGTGTCACCCATGAAGGGTGTGGTTCGTTTTGGTAAGAAGGGCAAGTTGAGCCCTAGATACGTGGGTCCTTATAAGGTGATGAGGAGAATTGGCAAGGTAGCTTATGAGTTGGAATTGCCTAGTGAGATGGATTTGGTTCATCCGGTATTTCATGTGTCTATGTTGAGGAAGTGTGTGGGTGATCCGAATGCCATTGTGTCTCTTGATGTTGTGGGTGTTGTTGAAGATAATTTGACCTATGAAGAGGTTCCGGTCCAGATTTTAGATAGGCAAGTGAAGAGGTTGAGAAACAAAGAGGTGGCTTCCGTTAAAGTCCTTTGGAGAAATCAACAAGTTGAAAGTGCTACTTGGGAGGCCGAAGCGGACATGCAAAGGCGATATCCTTATCTTTTTCACTCCACTCAAGCTTAAGGTATTGATCTTAGCCCTTTATAAAATCTCAGGTCTTAAGTTCAGCCCTCATGTCATTGCATACATTCATGTTTAAGTTGACAAGTTCAATGTGGTGTTACAACTATGTTGAGGTTTTGAATAAGGTGTAAGTGCATTGTTGCATCCTTATGTGGGCTGAAATTGCCATGGTTGTGTCTCTCATGTACGTTTCTTTAACATTCGGGGACGAATGTTCCCAAGGGGGAGATATTGAAACGACCCCAAAAATGCCCGAAAATGTGCTTCGGAAACACCTATAATTGTAATTTCCATATATCTCAAAATCCGTGCATGATTTCGGAAATTCGACTTCATATTCTTATTCAGGGGATCAAATTGAGTGGGAAATGGGTCTAACCCAAATTTTAGAACAACCGTATCAAAATTCGAAAATCGCAAAAAATGCGATTTTCAGGGTCAACTTTAAAGGGGCATATCTCTTAGCACACAAGGAACTGGAAGGGCCGCTACCTGTTAAATTAAAGCCCTTCGAGTTAGCTTTCCAATGCAGTTGGTTTCACCTCATTCCGAGTTAGGATGAAGGAGTTATGATCATTTTCGTAAAACTTGTCCGGGCAGAATCGCAATTTCCAGTGAGTTACGTTACTGTAGCGGCTGGAACGTTTTTCTTTTATAAAAAAGAGGATTGTCCCATACTTAGTTATATTTCTTTCTAGCTTCAAAACACTCAAAAACACTCACTAATACCTCTCCAAAATTCCACCAAGATCTTCAACCAAATTCAAACATCTCAAGTTTTAATTCCGGATTCAAGACTCAATCTCAAGCATCAATTCTCCATTCCAATCCTCATCAAGGATTCTCCAAAGTTGAGGTATGTGGGTTGATTGTGGAAACCTTCCTTTCCACAAGTCCAACCATTTATCCTCTATTTTACTTCAAGTTTATGGGTTCTTATGATCATTTATGAACTCTTGAATTATGGAATTACTACTACACATTCTATTATGGTCTATTTTTGCATATTATCATGAAATGGAATTATTATGTGATGTTATGGTTTTCATGCTTCCATGATCAAATTATGAAGGTTGATATATATATGTATGTTGTTGGTGGGCTGATTTATATGTATTTCGGAATTGGTTGGACTTAGTACTCTTGAAAGACATGATTTTATCTACATGAACAATAGCCCACCATGTGTTTGATAAAATGCCATTTATAGAATTCATAGGAAATGGAAGGTCCAATGTACATCCTATGAGTCGGATGATTATATAATTATTGAAATGATGATGAAAGGGATACATGTATATGATTTTCTCTATAAAAGTGTTGTGAGTCGACCAAGCCTAGTACGGGGGGTAGTAGGCCCGTATAACCGTATCAAGGTGTTGGTACCTTGGTTGCCTAGTACGGGGGGTAGTAGGCCCGTATAACCATATCGAGGGGTTTGTACCTTGGTCCCTAGCTCGGGGGGTGGTAGACCTGGGTAACCACATTGAGGGGTTTGTACCTCTTTCGCCTCTCCAAGGGGGTGGTAGGCCTTGGAAATACTATATTGATGGTCACTCACCACACATGTACTACGTCCCACTAAATATGATTTTTATGTAAGCCTCATTATATATATCATTTCATTTATGTGCTATCTATCGGGTATGAATATGCATTTTCCTATGATGTCCATCTATTGTAGCATTGCATTGCATCCCATATACTTAGTACATTCAAACGTACTAACGCATACTCTATGCCTACATGATGTCACCATGTAGGGACCGGAGCACCGCTTGACCATCCTCCTCCGCGTGGCTAATACGATTTCCTACCAAGGTTATTGGTGAGTCCTCCATTCCGGGGACGTTGCTCATGATCTTTTGCTATGTATAAGACTTTTCTTTTTAGTTATGTTTTGACTATGAGGGTGAGCCCGGTAGTTTGTCTTGGCCCCCGCTAAGTACTCATGTTT